GCGCAGCGCGAGGGACAGGGCAGCGCGCCGGGACGTGGAGCTGCTGGAAGGCTCCGGGAGGGAAAGCCGGTGGCCGTGTTAGACAGGAACTTCTCGCAGACAGTTGTTGTTATTCAAGCTAACAGCCCACACCAAGCAGAGAAAGGCAGAAAGGAGAGTTCGGATAAAGTGTTGATTATGTCCGTGGGTTAATTTGGTCTGGTTTTGGTGTTTTGTTTTAAATGGAAGGTGATTGTCCAAGTTGCCGATTAGGATACAACACATGGAAGCATGCAAGGTGGAGCCCGTTATTGCACCAGTAGCTACAACCTACGAAGAAACAGGGGAGGGAAGGGAAAAAGACACCGTGAGAATTAGTTACCAGTTATTGAAAGCAAGCCTTTGAGAACTACCTATTATAAAGCTTACACCAAAATAAAGCACAGGGTTAGCGCAGTGTTTCTTAAAGGATTTCTCAGAGGGGATGTGGCTGTTCCTCTAGTTTTAGTCTAACGTGGCTGCAGAGAACCTCCCAGGTGTAACCTGCCCAAAACAGTTTGCAGCAGCTGAACGTAACGGAGCTGCCAGCCCCTTCCTTTCACTGGGTGCCAATCCACTGTTGGTGTTGGTAATGAACACTGACACTTGAAATATTTCTCTGCTCAAAGCATGCAGGAAAGGGGAGTGTTAATGGATGCAGATTTACATGAACTGGCATTTCCTGGCAGGAGGAAGAGTGTCCGTCTACCTAGGGAAACTAATCAGGGTAACAGCTCCATTAGATGTAATTGCACAGATCCACAAGCTGTTCAAGAACAATTTCTTATGGGAACACTGCTGCGAATTAAGCACTTGGCAAATTTAGGCCTGGCATTCTCCCGCTGCTCCGCAGGGAAGCCCTTCCTCAAGCCAAGCCCAGCGCAGAGCGGGGAGCCCCGGCCCCGGCCAGGGCCACGGGCCCAGCTCGAGCCAGCGGCTCCCGCTGCGCGGGGACGGGAGGGCGCGCGGGTGTCGCTGCGCAGAACTGGGGTGCCAGTTCCTGCAGCAAGGAAAACATACTTCCAAAAGGCCTCTGTCACGTTGCACAAATGTTGCATTATGGCTTATGAAAACTTAAATACGAGTATGCTCCTCTGAGGGAGAGCAGACCAGATTTAAAAGAAAAAACGTCACAAGGGAGGCTGAGTGAGGGGCCTGGGTAATGGGGCCGGGAAGCGCACACCAAGGCAGGAGCAGGGCTTATGGGGGTACGAGGGGCTGCGGACCAGCCAGGACCTGGTTTTGCTTTTCCAAAGCCGCCGGCCCCTTTCCGAGGCCAGGCTGCATCTCCCGCTCCCTGCGGCTCCCGCGGCCCCCAGCCTGTGCTGGATTCCTTTGGGTTTTATTTTAATTCTGACAATTGAAGTCACGAGGGCAGACAGCAGAGCTGGAGCAACAAGGGTTCAGGGCCAGGGAGCCTCTCAACCACGAGCTGCAGCGCAGAGGCAGCGACCGAGGGGCAAGTGACCACGGCCACAGGCAAGAACACTTCACAGCTCCGCCACTGCGGTGCAGCTCAGGGGATGGGGAATGCTGAATCCTTTGCTAACAGGAGTCAGGGATGTTAGAAACATTCCCATTCCATTTAAAAGTTTTTAGACATCGCCATGTATTCAGGATCCAGCACTAATGTTAGAGAAACTACACAACAGACAAAAGGTGAGATTTTCAACCAAAACTGCAAACAAACCACATCCGCTAAAGCACAAAATGCCATGACAGTTGCCATCCAAGTGAACAAAAGTACTTGGCTAGTTATGGTAAAATACTGCAGGAAGATGAAGTGTTACGGGATTAAGAAGGTAGGTTAAACATCAAAAAGGCAAGAAAAGAGAAAATAAGCATTAGAGGTTTGGTTGATGAAAATAAATGCTGAAAATACTACTTGGTGAATGTGCACTGGCTGCAAACATGTCTGGTTTCCCATAGATCTTGTTTTTTAAGGAAAAAAGCACCAAGGTCACCAAAATGTAACAGTGTGATTAAAGAAAATGTTACGGTGTCCCTGACCCTGGGCTGGCACCTCAAGGCAAAGCCCCGGGCAGGCCTGGCCGCCGCCGCGGGGCCGGGCTCCACCGCGGGGCCGGCACCGTGTCCGTTTGGTCTCTGCTTTGGTGCAGACGCGGCTGCTCGTGGGAGCTCGAGGGGGAACCAGCTCTGCCCGGGAGGCCGACGGGCCGTCCACGAGCCGGGCGATGAGAGTTTAGGCCCCGTGACTTCGTGCAGTCTCAGCTCGAAGGCGTTTTACCCTCTGCTCTGATCTGCCATCGCTGATGTCACGGGATGCATCAGCCAGGTGATTTTGAGGGATTTTTCCCATTTTGACAGTTTACAAAACGCATGATCTTACAAAATCTGTCTTCCCCCATTGCAACAAAGGACGTGACTGTAGGAGCATAGCGAGCTGGCAGGATTTAAGCTGATGCTTCAGTATTTATCTTTATTTGGTCCAAATCTTGATGCGACTCCAGCTTACGTGCAGTGTACTGGCTGTCAATTTACTGTGTGTATCAAGCAATTGAGAGATTCTGGAGATAATTAGCACTTACTTTGCTTTTCTTCAAAGCCAATTATTCTGCGTCAGCAATAATGCTGCATTTATATTTATCTGCCTGCGTGAACTGGGCATTCTTCCATAAAAAGGAGGAGGGTTTTCTCTTGCCTACGTGCTCCTTGAAGGGGGCTGCAGCCTTCAGGTTTGCTGTTACTGGGTAGCTCAGCCCCAAAGGCAGACGGTGACGTCCCGTCTGCCCCGACTCCTGGGGGGTCTGTGCTGGCCATTTCCAGGCCTCCTGGTAGATCCTCCCTTGCAAACCAAACAGGCAGCTGAGCAAATAAGTATTGGAAGGAGGGAATATTTTGCAATAGAAATTGAACTATGTGAGTAGAAATTTAGCTGTGTGAACTTTGTGCCTGTTCTATTGCACAATCTCCCAGTAACTCGAGAAGCAGAGCAGTGTGCTATTGCTCTCCTATCAGAGGACTGGCAGCTCCCAGGAAGGGAGGATAGAGGACAGAAATCTCATTGGCAAACTGAGCAGCAGAAGCTTTCCAAGCGCAGCGGGTACTCACTCTGCAGATTTCCAGAAGTGCCCTGGGTGGGAGAGCCGACGATTCAATTTTGGCAGTTTTTCCAGCATATCCATAAGGACAGTGAAGCTGGGTCTCTCACTAAGGTCAAACGACCAGCACGCTGACAGAATTTCCTGCAAAGGATATTTGTGACTCATTTCATGTCCCCAGTCAGTTCACAGGTGAATCCCCAGCCCCTCCACACGTTAACCAGTCAGCTGAAGCCGCTGCTTGAGCACTCTGGCCTGTGGGAGCCCAGGCGGGATACAAACAGAACAGAAGTCTTGGACATTCGTACTGGGGGGTACCCTGGGTAGTGGTGGATGTCCAGCTATGTGTGATGGTTGTGGGCAGAGGCTGCTGCCTCATCGGGGAGCTGGTTCTGACAAGTTCCCTCTCCTGCTCCTTGGCTTGAGCCTTGCAGTGAGACAAACCTCTTTCAGCAGCTCCCTTTTGCCAGCATCCCTGGTAAACAGCTGTAAGGATTCCTGCAACGGAGGTACTTACATTGACTTCCTTCCCCAAACTAACTGTTGACAGGACTTGTTTCATTCCTTCACCACTCCCGATTTGCCAGATAAGAGCCTCTGCAGGCTGGTTTTTGAAGGGCCATTCTCTTGCTTGGAGCTCGTACCACACAGTCCTGAAACACCGACAGACACAGCAGGGCTCGGCCTGGCCTGGTGAGGACACCCCGCGCG